AGATGTAAGAACCAACTATTGACCTGATCCTTTCAGGCAGGAGTGGAGAACATCTGCAGCTCTCCAGATGTCTTTGCACCACAACTGTCGTCATTGCTGACCATTAGTCATGCTGGCCAGGCCTGAGGAGAGTAGCAGCCAACGTGTGGAGGGTGATGGATCCCCCCCCCCAGCAAAGTTCAAACGATCCCCTCAGAAGAGGTTGAATAATGCTCACCCAGGCAGAGGAACCCCCTTCACACGGCCTCTGCCTTGCCTGGGATGAGCTTCGGCTGCTTAGCCCTCCTCCAGACCATTGCCATGGCCAAGCATTGTACTAGAACTTCGACAACCACACTCGGCTGAGACGAAAGAGAGAAATGGAGCAGCCTGCCACCTGCATGCTGATGCCAACACAGCCCAGATGGCCACCTTCATCCAGGGCTTCATAAATGCGACAGGGCTGAACAGAAGCCCCCTAGCACCACCTTCTGGAACTGGCCGCCGGGCATGAGCACAACCCCTGCAATGCAGTACCAACTCCTCTGAATTTGGAGAGCCACTCCAAAAAGATCCTGAGGCCAGCGATACTGAAAGCAGCTTAGAGTTCAAAAAGAATCAACCTGGCTGCATTTTTCCTGCCTCTAGCCAGGCAACAGAGCGGCCATGGTGATTTTCATGGCAAAACCAGTTTTAAAACAGATCTGAAAAAACAATCTAATCCAAGACTGGGTGGACTTGATTGGAAACCACCAACGGCCCTGTGCAGTATGAGGCAGTATGTTTATAAATTCTCTGGAGTAAAGAGTTAGATAAGGCCCAGTCTGAATATGGTTCCTACGGAAACCAACAGCAGAACGGGATCAAGACCCATTGCGTGTGCTGGGTGGCCTGCTGCTCCTCTGTTTCATCCCCAGAGATGATGAATCTCACCAGAGATGCCTCACTCTGCTCATTAGCAGACTGTGCCAAGTCCCAGAACATGCACAAACTCTGTGCCCATTCAGAAATTCTCTGATGCAGCCCCTCCTGCCCCTGCACAGAGATCATCCTGAGCCTCAAGGGCGAATGCACTGCCCTGAAAGTCTGGACCAGGCCTCTCTCACCTGGAGCCGTCCAGGTGCACTGGACTGCAACTCCCATCATTAACAGCCAGTGTAGGGGAAGATGGCTAGGAATGATGAGAACACAGGAAGCTGCTTTACACTGAGGCAGACCCTTGGTTCTTCCATCCCAGGGCTGCAAGCACAGACTGGCAGCTGTGGCTCCCCAGGGTTTCAGGCAGGACTCTTCCCAGTTCTGCCAGAGGATGCTGGTGACTGAGCCTGGGACCTCTGGCTTGTAGGGCAGGGGCTTTGCCACAGAGCCACAGCCCTTCCAGAGTTGCAGCCAACACTGGCACAGGACATCAGTGAAGGAAGGCTAAGCTGGAAGAGCCTTCTTTCATGGCACCCAGTGGGAGGGTTCCCAGTCATCTGTCTTTACCATTTTCAGAGAGCAAGTCAAGCCAATGCAATTTCACCTCGAGTTAATGGAAATTCTAATCTGGAGAATTACTAGACTTAATTCTTGCTTTCTACTATGCCCTTTTTACATGTTGCTTTGTGAATTTTCTCGGGTATCATGATCCTGTTGCTTAATCCATATTGTGAACTGCTCAGAGAGCATTGCTGTTTACTTAATATATTTTTCACAAAGAGCAACAGTCCCTGTGCAAGAGATGCAGAGGCCAATAACCATCAGGACAGGAAATGTGATATGGAAAGTTAATCCTGGCTTCCCTGGCATACATAATAATGCCATGTTGTTCTGACTCCAAATGTGACCCGCACAGTCTGGAACAGTCACAGCAGTTGAGATCAGGCTGCTGACCTTGAGTCTCAAATCCACTGCAGAGTTATGAAATTCTGACAAAGAAGCGCTTTTATGGATCTATGCTGGGAATGGTACGTGTTCTTTGCAGAAGTACTTTGCACATCAGAAATTTTTCACTTTTGAAGCTGCCCTAAGTCTTTTTACAAATTATGGCTGGAAGCACCAAGATCCTTTTTATTTTCAAAAAAGGAGTAGCTTCCTCATACCCTAGGAAGAGCTTCTTTCTCTAAAACAACAGTCTTGCAGTGTTTCTGCAACTTGCCTACCTGGACTATCTCTGGATTTTTGTTCCTAATAAAAGCAATTTACACCAAACATAATCAGGCACCTGTTGCCCACGAACACCAGTTATATACCAGGCACAAGACCCGACTTAACACGGTGTTGTGGTGCACAAGCCATGAGGAAGCATCAGTGACTGGGGCAGGTGTGCAAGTGCAGGGACTGCAGGCTACTCCTACCTTAACCACAGAGCCTCCCACGTTTTATCAGCCACTGACAAAAGCCACAAACAAAAGTAGGGAGTGTTAGTCCTCCAGCTGGTAAGCCGCAAATTTATGAATGAGCCAGACCAGACCCAACAACGTGATTTCCATGGTGGTGGCCACCAGGGAGAGGGAAGAAAACAAGAAGAAACAGCAGAAAACCTTCTCAGAAAACATCATTGTATTTCTGAGATTCCACAGAGAACATTCCCAAAAAGCTCACACTATTTTCTCTTCCAACGCGTAATATTGGCACATGTGCAGCCACGGTGCTGGGAACATGAACTTGCTCCCTGGAAACCACAGTTTTGTTTCATGCGCCAAGTCAGCACCTGCGCCAAAGCATGAGCCATGGCGAGGAGCTGCTTGGAAACTAACATACAACGTAAGAAGAGCCCTGCTGGATCAGGCCATCTCACCCCACATTCTTTTCACACAGGGGTCAATCAGCTGCCCATGAAAAGTCCACAAATGGAAGACGAGTGCAGGCGCTCTCTCCCACTGCAGGCGCACCCAAGATCAAGACAGGGTCTCAGAGGCAGACATGGGATGGCCACTGCATAAAGTGCTCACAAGAAACACAATAACCAGAAAAAGCCCGAGTAGGGTTGGTGACTTGGTGGGCTGGGGACGGCCATGCAGTTCACAGTATTTGCGAGTTCCATCACAAGGAAGGAGGGCAGAGAGCTCTGCGGCTGAGCTGGGACACCTCGTTTGCCAAATGCTGCTCATCTAACATTCTAAGCTAGGAAGTGGCTGATATGGTTGTTTGAATGGGGAGTGGGGGAGGCAAATTTGAAACCCTTACAACACCTGCAGCCTTCTTGGTTGCTCCCATGTGCCCTTCAGAGCCTATTTTAAAATATATTGCTCTGTTTGAAATACAGTGATATGGAATAAGGTATGAAAATCTATGGAGGGCCAAGCACATAGCTACGCCTTCCAAAGGGTCGAGTGCTCCTTCTCAATGCAAAAGGTCCCAAGGTTTTATTGGACTGTGTTTATTCAATGCTGTTTTTATTGTTTTTATTTTTGTACCTCTGTTCTGAGACCTTGGGAAAGGACAAAATAAAAATGCTTTAAATAACTAAATAAATAAGCAAGCAAGCAAGCAAGCAAGCAAGCAAGCTCAATCCCGGGGAACTCAGGAGAGCTGATGAAAACTCTTCCTGCAGACATGGAGAGATGATACCAAGGCTAGACTGCATGGCTACTCTAACTTTGTGGCAGCTTTGCATATTCATACACTGAACCAGGCGTGCTGGAACAGGAGTTACTTCCTATGAAAACGAGGTGGGCCGCAGCCAGCAGAGCCCGTCTCTCCCCTTTCTGCAGAGGACAGCAAGGAACTTACTCCATGCAGTGCTGGTCTCTTGTCTCCGTTCATCTCCTCCCAGCACCCATTAGTGGTGGCTGTGGCTTGGTGGCGCTTCAGCGCATGCACACTCTGCTACATCCTCCCTCTGCAGCTATGGGACTCTCTCGCCATCCACAGGGTTTCTAAGCCACAACATCTGCAAAGGCTGCTTTGCCAGGCTTCTACATTTGGTCTTGACTGGCCTCCTACAGTTAAGCAGGACCCAGGTATTCCTCTTTAACGTGCTTACAGTTAATGGGTTTTTTATTTTTATTCTTCCCATATCTGCTGGTCCCTCAACAGAGACCTAGAGGGAAACACCTGCAGCCAGAATGTGGGTTGCTTCCTTTGTGAGTTTAATACATTTCTGGTACAAGTGGGAGAGGTACTGAGAGTCCCTAGTATTTTTAAATGTATTTTTGGTCAACATTCCTTAGCAAACTAAACAATAAAACACACTGGAGCTGCAGGGGGCAGTGATGTCCTCGGCATTCTTAGCTCCCCATTCTTAATATCCCCCCATTTTTGTTCCCATTTTAAAATGTATTTTAAAATAGCATCTGAAGGGCACATGGGAGCAACTAAGAAGGCTGCAGGTGTTGTAAGAGTCCCCCAACACTTTGATATTTCCTCCATTTCGTTTCCATTCCCCCCCTTCAGTCTGCTTTACCACTCATGACCCCGAAATTACTTGCAGGTTTCCCTTCTTCTGTAGTTTCAAAGTAATACTTTACTATGCTATGTTGTAACTCTCTTCCCCACTCTCCCATTCTACGCCAATTTGTACGCATGAACTGAAAGGATTTGCCTCGGTTTGCCTTCTCTGTATAATGGGTTGCTGCTGAAGATGGATGGGAGCAGAAAAATGTGGGTGCACAAGAGTGCTTTCCCGTTATTGCATGGGTCAAAGCGCCCTTTCCCCGCTGTTTTGCACTCAGGATCGTGAAGGTCCGTGCCTGAGCAGGGCGACGGGCGCTGCCGCAAAAGGACCTCTCCCGGCGCCCGGTCGGCACCTTGCAGGGCTGCCCCGGAACAACCCCCCGACCCGGCGCACCTGGAGATCGCTCTCCATTATTTCCCAGGACGAGGAGAGCGACTGCCCCGCCCGCGGGCGCGCGGTTTCCCGTTGGCCCCGCGACCCCCTCCCGCGGCCAGGCCCAGGCGCTGCTGCGGACAATGGGACGGAGGCGACCCCAGCCCTCCGCGCCCCGGGGCCGCCCTCCCCGCCCCCACCAGCCGGCGCGCGCGCTCCTCCCCGCCGCCCTTCCCCGTCCCGGCGCTCCGGGGGGCGCCCGCTCACCCACCCAGAAGAGCACATTGGAGGCGAAGAGCAGGTACTTGGCGCAGCAGCTGACCTGGGGCCCTTGGAAGTGCTGGGCTTTCCCTGGCATGGCGGGCGCGGCGGGGCCTGGGCGCTGCCCGGCCGGCTCACAGCCCCATGCCGCCCGCCCGCGGCCCAGCTCCGCCGCCGCCGCCGCCGCGCCGCCCGCCCGCTTGCCT